CTGATGTACAGAAAACACTAGCAGGGAAACACTCTATAGAGTAGGTACGAACAGATGCACACCATAAGATGAGATATTTGTCAAACATATTTTTTCCCCTAAAGGAAAGAATACAGCTAGAGTTGATTTAGTAAACATGCTCTGTTTCAGCAACTGGTGGAGGGCAAGCTGAAAGCTATCTGACAATGGAACAAACTGTCACAGGAAATGTTAGGCCATCCTCCATCAGAGGTTTTTAAGCAGAGATTGGGCAACCACCCAGAGACTTTTCAAAAATAAAATATCTTCCCTTTGAGCTTGCCTTAGAAAACAGCCTGAGACTGGATATGGATATATTTTATGTGAATATGCCATCATCTTTACCGAGTTCTAGTACATTTCCATGAACAATTCAAAATTTGAGTTTTCATTTTGACAAGCCTTTATTGCTTGAGACCTCAGTACCTGAGAGATCACATCATCCTCCCCCATGTGATGACCTGGACCTTAGAAAGAGTATAACATGCCTTTCTCTCAGGCACTTATCTGGTGAGGCAGCTTGGTTGACAGTGACAGAAAGGGTCTTTTCAGTAATGGCCCCTCAATTGTGGAGTGCTCATTCAAAAGTGCTCGGAAGAATATTTTTCTGTGGGGAGAGGCAGCACTGTGGTATATCAGCTTAATCTGCAGGCACAGAGTGTGCCATTAGAAGTCAGGGGTGACCACATACACTAAAGTAATAAATAAATTCATGAGTGGATGCCAGTGCACCCTCTGCTGCCTCTAGTGCTGTAGGACTGCCGTGAGAATATGTCACTGCCTCAAGTGCAGAACTAGATGGTACCTCCTACTATTTTATGTACAAAAACTAACTTTAATGGCAGTTGAAATTGTCTTCAGCACTGCAAATTGGAAATCCTCCACTTCTCACTGAGAAGACAGCAGGTTAGCTTAAAGTGTACAGGGCAAACTATGTAACATACATCTTTTCCCTTCTCCTCTGAACTGCCACTGTCATCATCTGTTGCCTGATGCAAGCACCTCCCTCCACCACTTGGTAGAGCCGGCCTTGTTGCAATGTCAAATAAACTGATCATTAACTGACTAGTTGGTTATTTCCAGAGAGTCATTCCATTCCTTCCTTTCTTTTAGCACTTAATGCCAGGAACTTTTTTGTTGAAAGGGGAAGTGAGGGCATACATAAGACAGCAAAATGTGTGACTCATTTAAACAAATGTGTAATATGTTGGTGTGGTGGTAGAGAGGAAGTTGAATACATTCTATATGTATTGCCTCCGATGCATTTTTGGTATCACCTGGCAGGACAAAGTTCTAAATAGAGTAGTCCTAGAATGAGTTGGAATTTTTAGCATGTATACATTGCTAAAACAGCAATGTCTATGTTGGCTTGGGCATGTCGTGAGAATGGCTGATGGTCGAATTCCAAAAGACCTCCTGTATGGAGAATTAGTGCAGGGAAATCGCCCCAGAGGGCGACCACAGCTGCGATACAAGGACATATGCAAGTGGGATCTGAAGGCCTTAGGAATGGGCCTCAACAGATTGGAAACCTTGACATCTGGAGGCAGGCGGGGCATCATGGTCTCTCTTATTTTGAAGAGACACTTGTCCAGCAGGCCAAGGCAAAGAGGCAGTCCCGAAACCAGCAAAACCAGGGAGCTGGACAGGGGACAGATTGTATTTGTCTTCAGTGTGGAAGGGATTGTCACTCTCGAATTGGCCTTCTCAGCCACACTAGACGCTGTTCCAACAACTGCACATAGAGCATGTTACCATAGTCTCTCGAGACTGAAGGATGCCTACTACTACTATGTTGGAGCGGAGGCAGTGGGAAGCTTGCAATGATCTGAAAAGCTTTTACTGTACAATGTTAGTCGGTATTGTTCCAGGCATGCCTTCTAAACTATCAGCAGGTCCCCCAAGTTTTTGATGCATCTAAAGCAAATAGTTTCTTTTAAAGTTCTAAAGCTTTATTTTTATTTCTAGTGCTGGGAGAGATAGAAGGAAACAGGCATGAAATTTACTAAAATATTTGTTTTAGTGTTTTGACACTAAGAAACCAAGGATCTCCTCCTTCCCAAACAACCAAGGGCAAAACAAGTCTGTAGATTCTGGAAAAGAGCACATGAGTGGGTGGAGATACAGATTTAGAAAAGCATTAATGAATCCATTAGATTTTAAAAGATTAAATTTTAAATTTTAAATTTTAAAGATTAGATTTTAAAAAGCAGTAAATTATCTTGCAACCATCAGAAACAATTGGCTGTGTAACTGTGGCCCTACTGTGCTCTGAACCTTGAAAGAAAAATATTCTGACAGAAATGTTGAGTATCGTTTTTCCGTTACGAATCTGAAATTGTATTCTTTATTGTACAGTCATAGACCTGAATTCCTCTTATGTTATGGCTAATATTGAGGCTGATCCTGACTCACTGTCATGGATTTCCCCCCTGAAAATTCATTGATATCTTCTACACGTAAATCAGTAGTAACACCCTTGGGCAATAGTGTTGAAGCAGGCATATCTTTCATTTCTTTAAGAAAAAAAAGCCACAACAGAGGAAAGGGAAGAGAAATGTCAGGCTTGGGCTGAAAATCTTCAAAAGCCAAGGAAATAAATGGTGATTATCTGACTTTCTTGACAAGCCTGACTCAGGAGTAATCACTAAAATTATTCCTGAGTTGATCTGTCACCATCCATACCCTCCCTACCTCCGAAGGGAAGGGGAGGTGGTAAAAAGTGATGCTGTGTGGAGATAGATATGAATCGAATCAGACTGAGACATCTTTCTGCCCTCAGCTGTACACTAAACACTCCCTTGCTGCGTGGCCAGCCCACCACAATAATTCAACTGCATTTCCTGTCATGCTTATGATTGCTTTCCAAGCGGAACAATAAATTCTCTGGAAAACTTGTTCTAGCCTAAAAGGCTCCAAACAAGACAGAACATTGAACAAAAGGCAATCTGAGTTGTTGGACAGAGTTGTAACTTATTCCTTTTCATAATGTACAAGCTGTACATGTGTTTTTGCTTCCTGCCTCTCTTGTTGTGTCTTCACGTTCCCCATCCAGCCATGCATCTCCTTCCATTTACAATTCCATTTATCCAAAGATGATTATCAAGATTTTGTACACAGCAATGTTACAAGGCACACTGCTGTGTCCTGTACAATGAAGAGATGACATTCTTGCTTATTTTCCGGATTGTTAAGTAGACCTAAATGGCCAGCAGTTACTATAAGCCTAGGATGGAGAAAGTGTGGCCCTCCCGTTTATGCCCAGTTAGCATAACTAATGGTGTGGGATGTTTGGATATGCAGTCCAGGAACATCTGGAGGGCCATAAATTCAATAATTCCACTCTAAAGGTAAAGGTTCCCCTTGACAATTTTTGTCCAGTCGTGTCCGACTCTAGGGGGCGGCGCTCATCCCGCTCTCCAAGCCATAGAGCCAGCGTTTTGTCCGAAGACAATCTTTCCGTGGTCACATGGCCAGTGTGATTTAGACACGGAACGCTGTTTACCTTTCCACCGAGGTGGTCCCTATTTATCTACTCGCATTTGCATGCTTTCGAACCGCTAGGTTGGCAGGAGCTGGGACAAGCAACGGGTGCTCATTCCGTTGCGTGGATTCAATCTTACGACTGCCGGATCTTCTGACCCTGCAGCACAGGCTTCTGCGGTTTAGCCCACAGCGCCACCTAGAATTCATTTAAAAGTTTCCTATCTCTCAGTAGAAGTTGGAAAAAAAAGTCATTTCATGTTGTGGATTTTGGCCAGAGGGCCAAATCAACCTGGGTATTGAAGCTGTTAAAGCAAGAAGCAACTTCAGAGAAAGGAGGGGTATATCATCTGTCCAGACACTCAGCTCCTTTGTTCCAGTCTGTGCCAATTTGTAAACAGATTTTCCAGTAGAGACACCTGGATTCTCTTTCTTAAGGAAACTGGTTCTGAAACTACGAAAACTACTTTTTCAGGGAATGAGGAATGCAAACTTAACCAAGGCAATACTTTGTGAAACACCCACAGTACTTCCAAATGTTTTATGCAGAACCTTTAGTAGTCTTAAGAGCCAGAGAGATTTGAGACTGAAGAATGAGAGAAGTGGTCAGCTCCTGGGAGGTGGGAAATGACCTTGTTGTGTGGAAGAAATATTGTGCAACAAAGTGGCTGAGAGGTCAAAATTAGACATGTCTGGAAGGCCCTGACCTGCTTGATATAGGGTTGCCAGATGTCATGCAAAAGGAGGACATGTCTTCCGTTTTAGCCTAATGTCCTCCATCAGGCAGGCAAAGATAAAAACCTTTAAAATGTCAGGCTTTTGTATATTTTATGTTATAATTTTGGATGGGAGGGGGAGAGGTACTCCCACACTCCCCAGCCTTGAGCTTATGACCCTCAGAAGAGGGGAGGCTGCCTTGTTCGGTTTTGCCCGGCACCACTATCCTGCCTGCGCCGGAGCCTTGTTTGGGCGTCCAGATTAGCAAGGTTGACTCTGAGCCTGTGCAGAGTGCAAGCAGCTAGGGAATCCTGCAGCTGGGCCGGGATGGGTTCGGGTACAATTAAGTGTGTGTGTGTATATATATATATATTTTGCAGGTTTAATCCTGAATGATTCAAATTAAACATTCGATACGTCCTCCTCTGTCCTCTTTTTTTATTTTTATTTTTTTGTCTTTCTGTGTCCTCCTTTTGGTGCCCATGTATCTGGCAACCCTAGCTTGATATCAATATTGTGCCTGCAGATCTGCACTTACCTTCAAGAAGGATTCTGATCTGCTCCACCTGGAATCCATGACATTATCTTTGGGTTTCAATTCTTTCCTGTCTGGAGAAAAAAAGGGGAGGAACCCCCAAGAAATCACAAACGGAGGGGAAATGCAAACATATGACCTGAACAAGCAGAGAGTGTTCTTCATTTTTCTGTGTCCTCCTTTTGGTACCCATGTATCTGGCAACCTTAGCTTGATATCAATATTGTGCCTGCAGATCTGCACTTACCTTCAAGAAGGATTCTGATCTGCTCCACCTGGAATCCATGACATTATCTTTGGGTTTCAATTCTTTCCTGTCTGGAGAAAAAAAGGGGAGGAACCCCCAAGAAATCACAAACGGAGGGGAAATGCAAACATATGACCTGAACAAGCAGAGAGTGTTCTTCATTTTGGACATGTATTAGGCCATAATATTAAAGGTAAAATCCCAGCAGGCAGTGCTTGGGCTTTGTACTACCACACCAACATTTCTTTCCTCAGGGTATATCAACATGCATGGTGATGAGGAAATGCCCCCAAAGACAAGAAATGTATGGTGGTTTTTGGAGAGAAGGAGGGAGGATTATGTCATTTGATTTATCTAATTTTGTTTTACTTTTTATATTTCCTCATATTTTCTGTCCTGGGTATTTGAATGGAACACATCTGAATCTGTGTGAACAGAACACCTTCTGGAGCATTTTTATGCCTGCTGTACATTCTAATTTTCATTCAAAAATACCCCATAAATCACATAATATTCTTTTTGATGGAGTAGTGCATGATGGTAAAACTATGATGGGGAACAACCTCTACATGAAAAATTTCCTTTGAAGACAACATGTGTACAATGCAGCACATCACTTTAAGTAAATTCACCATTTCTCAGTGCTATTTTATGATTAACATTTCTCAGCAGAAAAGCAAGACAAATGCACGCACAACAGATTCAATGAAAAATGAGTTTCCGTAAGCCTCATCAGCTGAAGAACTGTGTGTGTCACCCTCTCAAAAAAAAAAAAAAAAAAAAAGACTTGGACATCTGATGAGCACCTCAGCTGGCAGTGTCCAGCTGAGGCTGAATGAGAGATGAGAGAAATATCTGGTAAATTCTTATCTGATTAAACTGTCTTAACACAGCATAAACCTTCAATGAGAAATTTTAAAGCTCTGCAAGATTTCTCATTCCTGCAGAAAGTGAGACTAACAGCTCTTTTTTCTCTCCTCAGGATTCTGTAAATCATATACGAACGGTTAGTATCCTGTTGTTCGGCCCATACATTGAATGGCAATCATGAAAGCAATTCCTTCTATTAACTCAATTGTCTGTCACTAGATGCATCGTTCAGGCAGTCTTAGCGCTGATTGAGCAATCATGGAGTCACTGGGCAAATGATGGACAGTCCCCAGAATAGCACGCCAGCGGAAGAACTCTGTTAAGAGCACCAGAAGAATCCTCATCAGCAAGGACAGGAATGATGCAATTCCTTGTCATTGAATGTGAGGAAGAAACGAGGGAGGATTGCCCAAACTGATAATGGAGAAGTGTGTTGTAACACCAAATTTGTGTCTATAACTTCATTTTAAATAAATGATCTTCAGTGAATGGGAAACCAGGAGGATGAGAAGGCAGGAAGTTATAGCATTGTGAATTCCATTTGGACAACCTGAATTCAGGTTGGACCCCTCCTACTCCTAAAATCTTTTATATTTGCTTTCTCTAGAGATATGAGGTTCCCCCTTGATTATAATACATCTGCCAAGTCTGATTCTGTAGATAAGGAAACCAAGTTATTATTCAATATTAACTACAGAAAGGAATTGCATTGGATTTGAGAGTCTAGATGAAAACAGCATTGTTAGGCCTCCTGAGACCTGTTGAAAATAAAAATGTACTTTACCCTGACAGTTCACATATCTGCAAGGCTTATAGGGCATTTCGGAGAAATAAAATGCACAGAAAACCATCTGAACAGTTTAAAATGTGAACAGCTAGCATTTCACACCATTAAAAAAATAAGCACAAACACACTTTATTAGTCTGTGGGGAAAAGCTAATTGGTTACGTAAAAAGTGCAAGCAGATGTGCAGTTTAGGAAAAATACATTAAAATGTGTACAGATTTTAGAAGGAGTGGAATTTTGCAACCCAATACAAAAAAAAGATGGAGTGGAAATGCTGGTAACATTCATAGAAACAGAATAGAATCAAAACAGATTCACATCTCTATTAAATCTATTTTGCAATATGAATGACAACTACATTCAATCATTTATAGCCTGTGCAATGCTTTGCAGATAACACTTTTAATCTGACTGAGGACCAACTCCAGATTATTCCATGCTGAAATGATCTGTGCTTTCCCTTCCAAAGTACTAGAAAAATTTCATTTCACTTTGATATCCATTTCAGTGAATACAATGATAGGTCCAACACAGATTTGCCCTACTTGTGCCCTATATTCACTCCATATAGAACAGCTGCTGTATATGGAGTAAGAAAGAGTAAGGAATGAATCTACAGCCACTCTTGACTAAATCCAGACATTGTTAGAATGTTAGAATATGATGACGACGACAATGCAGTTTATATGTTCATGTCCCCAAAATTAGTTTTCATGCTTATCTCATGCTAAAGTTATTTTCTTCTATTCCTGTCAATCTTTGTCACAGTTAGACCCCTCTGAATATGCTGTTTCCTCTTCCTCATTGCTGATGGATAAGAGGGGAAGAGTGAGAAAGAGCAGTCATATCTACTGCAATTTCTTAATGAGATTCAGCTACCATATATTCTGTAGTGGGAAATGGCCGAGAGCTCATTTCTCTGAGACAGAAAAGAGAAAAAGTGAAGTAAAGCCAACAAGGAGTTAAGAAAACACCTCTGAGCAGTAAGAGTCACCCAGAAGATGGTTAAAGAACCCAAGTAACATGACTTTGGAACATATTTTCCACTGCAGGAAGCAGGCATGAGCATAGGGGATAACAATTAATGTAACTTGGCAGGGAGGCCTTTGAGAGTGCAGGAGGAGAGATCAGTGTCACTAGGCTAATGGCTGCCCAGTTAAGAAACAATGACGGGAATCCTACTGCTGCTTGTATAAGCTTTGCATAACATGTGGTGGCTAATTGGGGCTAAGTGGCAAGGTGCCAGGGTACATCTCAATAGTGCAATCAGACATATGACTAGGGATGCAACCAGAACATACTTTAGCATCAGAAGCAAGGTAATTGGTGATATAATCTAAAATAGAACTTAATTTTTAATATGATCAGTTACGTACATGCAGAGTTCGGGAGAAACTGTCCAAATTAAAAAATTAAGAACAGTCTTTTGAAATAAAGGGTAGCTGTGTGGTCCAAGCAAAATGAAATGCAAAAGCAAAAGTAGGCAATACTTTTATAGAACACTAATAATCGTCGTGCAACACATGAGCTTTTGTGGATGAAAATGCCATTTCATACAGTTTGTACAAGTGTGAACTTAAAGTCCAAAAGTTTATGGCAAGATGGAATTTGCCAGGTACTTCTCTCTTAGATATAAGTCAGGAAGTGGTATGGTTGCTGTTTTTTCTGACTTAACATCTAAGAGAGACATGTCTGGCAAATTCTATCTTGCCAAGAACTTTTGGACTTTACATCTAAGAGTAACTTTCCTGGCAAAATCCATCTTGCCATGAACTTTTGGACTTTAGGTTCTTCACATAGGTCTGATAAAATGTGCTCTAGCATGCTAACCCATCTAATCCAAGCAGCTAATGAGGCCGCACACCAAGCAGTTAAAAGCACCCACCCACCTACCCATATATACCTTAATTCCAGTTCTTTCTGGCTATCCTGCTGGTGTCTGGAGATGGAAAACATTAGCAAGGCCTGCTGTTTGAGGCACATTTTAATTAATTCTATACTGTTAGGCAAAAATTCTCATTAGGGATGTATAGAAGCCCCCTGATCCACTATGTATCTGAATAAAGGGCAGAAAGATTCAAGCTGACCCCTCCATGCCCTTTAAGAGTAATTCCAACCCATTCTGTCCCCAGATCCATGACATTTTCTCTATGTTTTTATATCTCCATTTTTTAAAAAAAATCCTGCAAATATGGGGAAATCCAAATAGCTGGGGACCATGCAGAACTCTAATTGTGTCACATATCAATTCAAAATGTATTCAGTAGTTAACCTTCCACAATCACATGCATGCACAGACGTACACTCAGTGCTAAAATTGCTGTAACATTTCAGTAAACTAAGCCAGAGTCAGAGAAGGAATAGACTACTCTTCAATGCAAAAGGAGTATCTACACAGTGACACAAGTCTTTGTTTTCACTGTATATGAGGGGGTGCTGATAAGTATTGAGCCTTTCCCAGAAAAAAAATGAGCTAGGAAGCTATAAATTGCAGGGTGTATTGGCCAATTTGTCTGTATTCAATGGTGCGAAAATCAACTACCTATGATTTTCACTTATCTTTCAGGTTCAGGTCTAAAGTGAACATGACAGCACCTCCAGAAAAGTTCAATGTGGAAGAGCATAGGACCTTAAGTTCCTGTTTCTTCTCATACCAAGGCAAAGTGACTTGGTGAGTGGTTGCAAGGGGATATATTCTGTTCTTTTTTAAAAATGAAGCATGTCAAGGAACCATGGTGAACTTTCTTTAGGTATGGCATGTAAAACAGCTACAAATCGATCTAACAGTAGCATTGTCTAATCCACGTCACTTTCTTGCAGGGAAGGATCTGTTCTAGTTCCTTCATAGCTGTCTGTCCAAGCCTCAGTCATCTTTTGGTGTGTTGACTGCACTCTCCATTTTGATCAAGGACTGAACCAAAGTATAGAAAATCTTCAACAGTTTTAATCTCTTCATTGTCAGCATTAAATTTATATTCTGGGGGGGGTGGTATTATTTTTGTCTTTATTTTTGAATTCTCACTGCTCATTTGTAATCTCACTTTTGCATTTTTGTCTTTAACTTTCATGGGTAGTCATTTAAATTCATTGCTATTTTCTGCCAGTGATATGAAGATATTTGCCTATCTTCAATTACTGATGTTTCTTACACCAATTTTCAATTCTCCTTCACCCATATCTAATATTGCTTTCATGTCATGTCTTATGTATAGGGAGATAGGGAGATAAAACAGATCCTTATTAAACATATTTGTAATTTGAAGAGCATTCTGTTTCCTCATATTCTGTCTAAACAGTAGACTTCTGTCCAGTATATAGTTCACATATCAAAACAATCAAATTATGTGGCATGCCCGTTCATCTTAGAATGATTCACAGCTTTTCATGATCTGCATAGTCAAAGTCTTTACTACGTTTGGTAAAGCACAGACTAATGTTCTTATGAAAACTATAGTACACTCAGCATAAATGCATATTCTGAGAGGGTCATTGCTGGCAACCTTGTGGGCTGTTCGCTCCCACACCAGAGACCCAAGCAAGGCCCTTGGATACAGCTACTGCTGGATCTGTAGCATGTGCAGGACAAAAATGACTAGCCCAGGAGAGAGAGGAGACTGTGGCAGATGGGAGCCAACAGGAGGAAGATGAGAGGGAGGGAGCCACTTTGCACTTTGGGGCCATAAAGAGGCTTTGGAGGAAGTGGGGGGGAAGGTCAGAGGGAAGATGAGGGCCATCTCCAGCAGGAGAGTCCTCAGACCTGGGGAAAGAAGGTGCTTGGGACAGTGGCCAAGCCATGAAAGTTTGGGAAGCAGAAGGAGATTAGGATTATAGCTACCATGAGGACCCCTAAAATGAGGCCTTGTACAACTCAGAGTACCCCAGGTCCCAGGTAGCCCCCAAGAAGAACCTAGCCCAGCCCACTGCTTTCAGTCTCTTTGCTGTGACTACCACCAACAGCCTGTGCTGGGCCAAAAGGCCTCACGCTGGAGGAAGGCGGGGAAAAAGCCCAGAGTGGCCTGGGTTGCCAGATGGGTCGGGAAAATGCCTAGAGTGGCCTGGGTTACCAGATGGGTGGTACAGAAAGTAAACAAATGAATGAATAAACAACAACAGCAACAGTGACTTGAAATTAAACAAATAAATGAATAAACAACAACAGCAACAGTGACTACCAGAACTGGCAACCCCAGTGCTCCAACCTCGCCCCTGTCCACGGAGGCCTCCATTGAAGGAAACCAAAGACTCATGGGCCCCAGTGGAGTTAACTTAGGGCCCAGTCTACATTGGGACTGTACAGATGCAGGTGCTGTTAACTCTGCCACTCAGAAAAGTGGCAAAAGGGGATCAGACTCCTATAGTCTTTACTTCACCAGTTGCAATAAGCCCTGTTGTGACTGAGCTGAACCATGTGAAGTCAATGGATACGGGTACAGGGAGGGGCAGGAGTGGAGGGGTGCACAATATGCAATATTATCTCTATTACTGATTTGTTTTCTGACTCTAACTTGACCATTTCACTTGTACATTGTCTGGGGTAGATATGTGCAGGAAATGCAGGTAAGTGGTAGGACAGTGAGATTCCTGAGCGCTTACAGTGCTCCTGAGGTTGTCTGCTTAGGGTGTGGGGCACATAGAAAATATGCATCTCACTGTTGGGAGCTCACTTGATTTATCCACTTTGGAAGGAGGTGACAAAGGAAGACCTATGGCATGGCACTGAGGAATTTTACATTCAGGACCACCACTGTTAGTATCTCATAACTGAAATGGAGGATGGCTACCCCAAAATGTATAATGAGCCCTTGCCACTCAGACCTGTCTACCACCACTCACCCAAACACCCTTCAAAGGATTCACCCATGGCAACAGATTTAGTCATGCTTAATATCTTATTTACTGTCAATACCTGGAAAAGGTGGTTCCAGTCTACTCACAAATCCCCATGTAGATGATGGGTTCATGTACAGAGACAGTCTGTACACATCATCTCATATATGAGGGGGTGATATGTGGCTAGTCCCTGTGAACTTAGGGCTTAGAGCTAGTCCACAATTGTCAGTAACCCCCTCCTCCTGAATCCCATTCACCTAGCCACAGTGCATCCCACAATTGTCAGTAACCCCCTCCTACATTTCATCTGAATCCCATTCACCTAGCCACAGTGCATTCCATGAGACAATCAGTATCTGTAAAATATCAGTGATATGTAAAAATAACGTCCCTTTTTCTTTGCAAGCTCCTCTCGATACAGGTTTTTAGTTACTAGGAATTGCCAGTTTCCTTGAGATGTTGTTTCAGACATTTGCTAGGACTCCTTCAGGTATGTGAGTCATTCTCCAAGAATAATTCTCAGCTGCTTTCTCGAAAATCACTATCTTATGACTGAGTTGGACCCTCAGTGTGAACAGATGCCATTACACTGTTGGGTCTATAAAAATGCCAAAGGTGATCACAAAACATTCCTCAGACTATCTTTGGATTGGTTCCAAATGCACGAGGAAAGATGTAATTGCTCATCCTTCCAGGAAACTTAAATTGATAGAGAAGTGGGTAAGTTCAATTCTTATTATCCTTGAAGACCTGAATCTAAATAACTCTATTCGGGGTGTACTGACGTCCTTGTCCCCAGTCTGTGCCTGAATAAAGGGCACACAGAATGGAGCCAATCCACCCTGTGTCCTTTTAATGACATACCAGCCTGATCCTTGTCTGAGCCTATGATTGTTCTTGGACGTTTCCAGTTCTTCATGAAGTCCCCATCCCTACGAATGGGAAAACACAAACAGCAAGGAGAGATCATAGATTAAAAGATGCCAAGCAAGACTGCTGGCATCTACAACAGTCTCCAAAGTTGGGTGTTCTGTTTTATTTTTATTTTCATTCCCCCTTCTTTCCATCCACTAGAAGAAACCCCAGCCAGCTTCCAAAGGTGGCCGCTAAGAAAAGGAGTGAGAGGCTATAAAAGGGCAGTGGGTACCGTTGCAGAGTTTTGAATTTTTGGTTAAATTTCTTTAGTTGTGCAGCAGAGGTACAGATACTTACAGAGAAGAATAGCTTCAAGTTACCAAGAGACCAACCATTTCTCATTAACTGCCACTCACAGGCTCAATAACTCACTGTGAGACATTAGTAGTAGAAAGATTAAACACCTTTTTTTTACTTACAGTTGTGAACAGATCAAAAGCTACCTAACAACAAATTGCTTCCAGCAGACCAAAGAGGGGAAGAAGAAACACTCAGTATAGAGGCAGGGCTCTCTTTGAATTCAGAGGCTGGAAGGAATGATTGGTTACTGCTAGATTAACAGACAAGCACTTCAGCCTTAAAAAGTGCCTCCCCCAGTCGCTCAAACTACAGGCAGCATGCGAGATCGTAAAAATTCCAACAAACACAGTACTCCTTAATTCCTTCTGAAAATGGCAAGGCAAGAAACCTGCTCTTTTATATTTTCTGTCCTTTCTCTCTGCCCTTATCTTTTCCATTGCTGGATCTGAAATCAGTAGTTCTGTGGCTACCGACTGACAGTTTAATCAATGACTCTGTAGCACAAATGACAAGGAAGGATTATTTCTAAAACAGAGTATTCTCTCATCTGTTGTCACCAGTTTGGCATCTTCCTTAGCTTTCTGTCCCCTTTCCTCACTTCTAATCATGATATGCAAATGTTGAATTGAAAACAGGGTGCCAGCCTCTGTATTCTTTTTGCCACCATGTGGTCACCCCAGAAAAGCATCAATAGCCCTGATTCGGTTATGCATTTATCTGAAGACAGGGCAAATCCCAAATCTCCTTTGTCAAGGGGCTTGTCTATGCTGGTTGTTCCTAGCCTTTGTACCAAAATGCTTAGAGGCCCAAGGTCTTTAGTACCAGGATAACACACAAATCAGGGAGGCTCTGCTTGGGGTGCAGTAGAGTAGCATGGTCCATAGGGCTACCACAAGTGGAGGGAGGCTTACTTGGAAGTGGCAACCCAGTTACAAAACTCAAGTTTGTTAGCAGTTTCCTTATTCATAATATCCTTATCTTGCAAGCAATTTAAAAAAATTGGGACTGTGAAGCTCAGTTTCTTAGCACTGAAGTCAACCATCTGAAGAGGGCCCTACAGGCAAATGGCTACTCCAAAAATGAAATCACAAGAGCCATAAAACCAAGAAAACAACACCAAATTGAAGAAGAAAAACAGCCACCCACAAATAAAGTATTTCTGCCATATATCAAAGGGGTCATGGATTGCATGGGGAAACTTTTGAAAAAACACAACCTACAAACAGTATTCAAGCCCACCACAAAGATACAACAAATGTTACGGTCAGCAAAGGACAGAAGAGACCCCCTCACCACTGCAGGAGTATACCGGATACCTTGCAGTTGTGGCCAGGTATATATTGGAACCACAAAATGAAGCATCCACACCAGAATCAAAGAACATAAGAGACACTGCAGACTAAAACAACCAGAAAAATCTGCAGTAGCTGAACATGCCCTAAAACAAGCTGGACATGAAATTCTATTTCAAAATACCGAAATACTGGACAACACCAGCTACTATTACATTAGACTGCACAGGGAAGCCATTGAAATCCACAAGCACCAGCACAACAAAAAAGAGGAAAGTTTGAAACTCAACAAAACTTGGCTCCCAGCTCTGAATAATACAGTGTGCAAAAGGTCAAAAAAACTACCCAGCTACAAGGAGAGGGGATCACTACACACAAAAGACCACCTAATGACATCAATCACAGTGACAGATAATCTCTTCTCCTTATCACAACAATACACCCACAAGAAGACACACTAATCACCCATCTTCTGAAAGGACAAAAGCCCATCTCACAGCCATAAATACTCCACTCCCAAGCATACTACACCAGAGCACAGAGTGCTGTTCTCTGAAGAGGCCGGCCACAGAGACTGGCGAAACATTAGGAAGATTAACCTTCAGAACACAACCAAAGAGCCCAAAAAACCCACAACAACCAATTAAATACCAGTTTAAAAAGAGTAGTATTTATTTGTATATGCTGTTGGAAAATGTGTTTTATTCGCTTACTGCTTCTGCGTCTTTGTACTACTTTTGTTGTGTTTTATCAGACATTTAGAATTCATTACTTTAGAGATTTGTGATTTATATGCAATTTGTGATTTTATTTGTTTGCAGCCTGTTAAGTTGCCTCGATCTTCTAGTGGAAACTGTGGGAAATCAAATCCAATCAATGAACATGATGCATTTATGTGATGTACTGAAAACAAAGTGAAAACAGAGATGCACATTGAATGGAACATGAGTTCTATGTTTGAATGACTGGCCCTGAAGTCTTTGATGCCATAGGTTCGTGCCAGCTAGTGGGGTGGCCCAGATCTTCTGCTTCTGAGGTTGAAGTATCATTGTCACTCTTCCTAAGCATTTCCTTTCCTCTCACTCCAGTCTGTCCTCCCCATGTTCTCTTCCAGCATTTCTCTCTCAGCCCCGGGGCTGGGCTTGCAGTGCTCTAGTTCCACCATTCCTCCCCACAACCTCTGCTGATTCCCACTTCCTGCTGTTTCATGCTTGCTCTGCAGCTCCAAGGCTTCCCTCACCCCTTGTTCTAGTCATTCCCGTTCTGTTCCCATTGCTTCTCCTAACCATCACACTTGTAAATCGGATCTGTGGGAAACAACACTGTGTATAGCATTCTCCACAGAGCCAATTATTTTCCTGAATGTTGGATCCTGGTTACCTCTCAGGAATAAGCACTGTTTGTGGACTGTCAGGAAAAATGCCTCTGTTGTGGGGCACAGGTGAAACAGTGACAGCTCTTCAATATTCTTAATTCACTAGTCTAGCTCACCCACAACCTGAGGCAGACATCTTACTGTATCTGTTTCAACTATAATATGCCTAATCATGTTTTAGTTGGTTGGATAGCTCAGTGGTTTAGATAGCCAGAGGCTGAGAGTTCAATTCCCCACTGAGCCTCCTGGGAGAAGAGCCACCCTATGCAGCCTTGAGCAAGCTGCACAGAGCCAGGGTGCCCCCATAAGAAGTGAATGGTAAACCACTTCTGAGTATTCTCTGTCTGGAAGACCCAGAAAAGGATTACTCTAAGTTAGAACTGACTTGATAGCACATGATTGTTATTATTCATCATATTTTAATATTGTAATTTATTTATTTATTGTATTCGTGAAGGCTTTCATGGCCAGGATCTAATGGTTGTTGTGGGTTTTTCGGGCTCTTTGGCCGTGTTCTGAAGGTTGTTCTTCCTAACGTTTCGCCAGTCTCTGTGGCCGGCATCTTCAGAGGACAGCACTGTCCTCTGTACTGTCCTCTGAAGATGCCGGCCACAGAGACTGGTGAAACGTTAGGAAGAACAACCTTCAGAACACGGTCAAAGAGCACGAAAAACCCACAACTACTGTTTATTTACTATCAGCATTGGTTTGTAGATAATTTGTAATCTGCCTTAAGTTCATTTAAAGGGAGAAATGTAAGAATATCAGCTCATGCCACCCATCCTTGCAGGCCATCCTCTTACAGGTTGTCACACCAAGTGAGGGTAAGATGACCTCTACAAGAAATTGAGCCTTCTCAGTCATGACACCACTCTTATGGAATTGGCTCTCAGGACAGCTTTGCTGGGGCCCCTTCCTCCCAGGTTTCAAGAGGATGCTCAAGACAAGGCTGCTTAAAGCAGCTTTCAAGGGCATCCTTTCTTGAGCGATGACACATTTATGCCACAAGTCCCACCATGAATTAGATTTAGATTTAAATTTCAATGCTTCACTTTGTTGGATAAGTTTGTGGTTTTATCTCTTTTGTTTTATTACTGATGATTTTCCCTGAGTAGTGTCTAGCACTAATGAGGTGGTATACACGTATATGATATGAAATTAAGTACTGTAATTAAACAAACAAACAAACAAAAAGTGTGCCAAACCTATCATGCCTCACCTTGTTCAGACATCTTCAAAAGGGCAAGAGGATATCCTGTGGCTTGATGGAGCCACTGAACAGGAAGAAATTTGTAATTTGCCTGCCAGCACCCTGAGGGAAGGCTTGGGGAGAAGGGCTGAGGCCAGTTCTTTCAGTGAGGCATCAGACAATGAAGACAAGACAGCCTGACAGACGTGAGGCCCATTTGCCCAACAGAAAGAGGATGGCTTAGGAGATTCTAGCAGCATCTCAAGGTCTGTCAGTAACTGATTGTAGACATCCGAATGCCTATGAGACATATGCTGAGAGCTATACATTCAGTGAACACTATCAATTAATTTTTGGGAGGCAACTAATTAACACCTTCTCACTCATACATGTACCTTATCTGGACTCCTTAGGACTGGCTTGGACTGTCCGATGATCTGTCCTGTGATTTAAGATGAGAAATTACTTACAGTGAAGTCTTGACTTGAGAACTTAATCCGTATTGGAAGGTGGTTCTCAAGTCAAAAAGTCTGTAGGTCAAGTCTCCATTGACCTACAGTGCATTGAAAACCGATTAATCCCGTAACAAGCCGTTTTTGTTCCATTTTGGTTTTTTTCTGGTCTGTAAGTCAATTCTCAGGCTGCAAGTCAAGCCTAAATTTTGCGGCCAGAGAAGTCTGTAACTCAAAAAGTCTGTAAGTCAAGCCGTCTGTAAGTCAAGGGTCCACTGAACTTTTTGGTTTGACACATGGACATTGATGACCACTCTCTTGATGTCCACACACGTAACAAAAACTCTGCCACATACAAGCCCTGACTCTGACATCTAAGCATTGGTGGCAAATAGGTGGAAAAGGAAGCTTAATCTTGTTTCTGTAAGAACATCGGTTTTCCACATGAGTAAAACTGTCAGCATGTTTGTTGTATTTCTTTCTGTGGAGAACCAAACTACTTGATGCTGAGCTTGATTGGCATGACCCCACTCCACATAAGGTCAATATGTGAAGGATCAACAGAAAAGATCCCTTAACATGCTAGTGGACTTTGGAGGTAACCACTCAGCTGAAATAACAAGAGCAGCACAAAGGAGCAAATCAATTCAGTGGTACAGTATTTTAAAATAAGATTACCAAAATCGCTGGCAGAGAGGCAGACTATGCTGATATTCCTCAGCAAAACAAAGATGGTTCACATAAAGTGGTTTTTTTTAATTCTTCTTTTTGCTTGATTGTATGACATAGTTTTATTTTGTAAACCATCCCAAGTAATGATTTCACTATAAGCTTGCTTAAAAAAAAAAAACAATTTCTAGGCCGTCTTCCACACCTGGTTGTGGTGCTTGTTCATGTCTCTGTTAACTGTTCTGCATTTCATCCTGTTTCTCTGCACTGGGGGAATTCCCTCCAGTCACAAATGGCTTTGTGTCAACAGCATGTCAAATAATAAGCCCTGGCAAACATTCTTCTTCCCAACTGTTATACTAAACCTGGCAGATGGGTGTCTTGTCTTGAGGAGAAACAATAAAAAGTGACTTGCTATACAAATATGACTTGTCAAGGTCACTGCTTTTGACAGTTGGAATGGAACCCATACACCTTTCTCTTTTAGATTTGGTCCATTTCTTCTTCTGTCCAGCATTTTCAAATGGCAAGTGAATATTGAATAATTCCCCTTCCACCCCCTCAGGTTTCTCCATCTATTAAACCTTTAATTCTCCCAAGGCTCCACTTATAGCATGTGGATTAGATGCAGAGCAAACGTATCAGCTACGAGAATCCCTAAGGCTTTTCAGCTGGGTCATGAATTGCCATAAAAACTGTCTTGTAATTTTCAGAAAACATGTGCCTAAGTAGTACTTCTCAGACACACAAGCAAGCAATAAAGTACTTCAATGCACAACCTGCATGTTGCTAGAAGCACACTCAGGTATCTGTGTTAATGGTATTATGGGATGGTTAGTATTTGTGGCACCCTAAACCCCCCCTCGGATACCCAGGGTGGTGTAATGGAAGGTGACAGACTAGGACTCAGGAGGCCTGGGTTTAAATTCCCGCTCACCCATAGAAACTCACTGGGAGAGTGGAACTGGTAAAGCCACCCCTTAAATATATCATTTACCTTGAAACCCCTGTTAGGGTTGCTATACCTTGGTTCTGACTTGGTGGCACATAACACCAAATCCTCTCTCAGCTGGGTCACAACCTTTAAATAGTATAGAAAGCTCCTGTCTGTGGATTTGCCCTGCTATTACTTAAACACAATAACATTCTCCTTGGTGTCTACACATTTGAGATTCTGAGGCCCCTTTTTCACCTTCAACTTCCCACTGTGAAAGGATTTTATCCCAGGTTTTTGTTATCCTTCTTTGATAGCAGTGCCATCACTGGTTCCAAACCTGAAGCTTTTTAACAGTTAAAGTGCTCCTTTATGCTCCTATTTTTGCTCAGCTGTGGCCAAGCATGCAGTATGGTAATTGATTACATCAGTGGCTCCCAATCTTGGTCAACCCAGGTACAGTGCTGCCTCGACTTACGACCGGCCCGACTTACAATCATTTCGAGCTCCGGCCACAAAATTTTGCTTTGACTTGAGACCAGAGCTTTGAGTTACGACTGGAAAAAAGGGGGAAACGGTGGGGAATTCAAATTTATTAACCGTTGGTCGGCAAAGAGGCTGCTTCTTTGTAGCTCTTTCACCCCAATGGTTAGAGAGTGTGTGTCGGAGGACACTTCGGATTGCCTGGTGCTGCTTTCTGCTTCTGTGTGAGTACAGGGTTTTGCAGGCTGGGTTTGGGCTGGGGTTTGAGTTACGACTGGAAAAAAGGGGGAAACGGTGGGGAATTCAAATTTATTAACCGTTGGTCGGCAAAGAGGCTGCTTCTTTGTAGCTCTTTCACCCCAATGGTTAGAGAGTGTGTGTCGGAGGACACTTCGGATTGCCTGGTGCTGCTTTCTGCTTCTGTGTGAGTACAGGGTTTTGCAGGCTGGGTTTGGGCTGGGGGGGTTATGTTCCGGAGGGGCTTGCTCTGTTTGTTTGTTTTTGTATGTGTGTGATTTTTTTCCCCTTGGCCCCAACACATTCCGATGGGGCTTGCTCTGTTTTTGTTTTTGTGGGTTTTTTGTTATTTCCCTCCCAGCTCCAGCGCATTCCGATGGGGCTTGCTCGATGGGGCTTGCTCTGTGGTTGTTTTTGTTTTTGTTTTGTTTGTGTTTTGTTTTGGGTGAATTTTTTTCAGCCCCAGCACATTCCAGTGGGGCCTGGTGTGTTGTTGTTGTTTTGTGATTTTTTCCCCTTGGCCCTGATGCGTTCTGATGGGGCTTGCTGTGTTGTGGTTTTTTTGTGGTTTTTTCCCTGGCCCCAGCATGTTCCAATGGGGCTTGCTGTGTTGTTGTTTTGTGAATTTTTTTCCGGCCCCAGCACATTCCAATGGGGCTTGCATTTATTTTGGGGGGGGGGGGGTTGGGGGTTTTTTAGCCTTAGTGAGTTCCGATGGGGCTTGCTCTGTTTGTTTGGTTTTGTGCGTGTGTGATTTTTTCCCCTTGGCTCCAACGCATTCTGATGGGGCTTGCATTGTTTTTGTTTTTGTTTTCACAATTTTTTTCAGCCCCAACACATTCCGATGGGGCTTGCTCTGTTTGTTTGTTTTTGTGGGGTTTTTTTTATTTCCCTCCCAGCTCCAACACGTTCCGATGGGGCTTGCTGTGTTGTGTGTGGGTTTTTTTGTGATTTTTTTTTCTGGCCCCAACGTGTTCCAATGGGGCTTGCATTGTGTTTTTTTTGGGGGGGTGTGATTTTTTTTGGCCCTGACACATTCCAATGGGACTTGCAGTGTTTGTTTGTGTGTGTGTTCTATCCAGAATGGATTAATGGGGTTTCAATGCATTCCTATGAGAAATGGTGCTTTGACTTACGACCATTTCGAATTATGACCATCATTCTGGAATGGATTAAGTTTGTAAGTTGAGGCACCACTGTATTCTTGGACTACAATTTCCAGAAGCCTTTACCCCCAGCTATGTTGGCTGCGGTTTGTGGGAATTACAGTCCAAGAACAGCTGGGTTACCCAAGGTTGGGAACCACTGGATTACCTAATAACTGTTACTGGAAAATAAACAGGTGTCTGTTGCATGAAACAAATGTAGGTTCTATGTTATAACAAAATAAATAAGAGAGATTAAAATGCAGTTAGGTCAAAGATATATCAAGCACTCTTGATATAGCTCTAAATTAATCCTTATGCTTACAGAGCTAGCTATCTGACATACGAATTCCTAAGGTCCCTAATATTTGTTTGTTTGGTTGTTGTGGGTTTTTTGGGCTCTTTGGCCATGTTCTGAAAGTTGTTCTTCCTAACGTTCCTAACTCCCAAACTCCCAAACAAACTGCACCAGAGCACAGAGTGCTGTCCTCTGAAGATGCCAGCCACAGAAACTGGCAAAACCTTAGGAAGAACAACTTTCAGAACATGGTCAAAGAGCCCAAAAAACCCACAACAACCATTAGATCTCGACCGTAAGAACCTTCACAAATACATTTGTTTGTTTGTTTATGGAATTTGTATACTACCCATCTGGCTACCAAGGCCACTCTGGGTGGTTCACAAAAAAAAAAAAAATAGAACAGTAATCAGCAACAATAAATTAAAATAAAGTAACATCAAAATAATATAAAAGAATAAACGTAGACTAAATATTATAAATTAGAAACCTTATAAACTTAAAAATACAGCACAAAAAGAATAACGTTTAATAAATACTATTAATATTATCTCTTCCATATCTCTGAGTCTTATATGATCTTTATCTACTCTTTTTATCTTCATCTAACTACTTAAAAAGCTCTGAATATGTGGTTATTGAAACCAATTTAAAGTCATGTGACAGTAATGTGGTTTTTGAATTTCTAAGTGTGTTCCCCCTTGGGACAACTTTTATTCTGATTTTTTAAAGTATTCAACTGATGTCAGAGACTATACTCACAATTTAAATTGTGTTTATTTAAATCACTGCATGACACCTGCAGACCACAATGTTTATACCACTGTCTTTGTAACATCACTGATTGAAGGAAGTGGGTTGAGGAGAGAAAAGAGGCAGGGAAAGGGGAAAGAAGGATTTGAAACTACATGCTAGGCAAAATCCCCTCTTTGTAGGACAAGGCACAACAGTCTAATATGATACAACTGTATTTGGAATTCAAAAAGACAGACTAAATCAATTGCTGGAAAAATTATGGCGACAGAGATGTTCACATATGCCATATCACTAGAATTGGATTTGACACCCAAGTTAAAATAAACAGCCCTCTGGCAGAAAAGGGGGAAAAATCACTGGCAATCAAAAAACATGATGCCCTGTCAAAATCATCCCCCCTTCCATGTATGTTGTGTATTCACGTTTTTTTAACATCGATTTAAAACAAGCTAAAATCAACTTCAGTTTTT